GTTTAGCCTCAGGAAATTCATTTTTTAATCCTTAGTTAAGTAAGCATACATAATCTTATGGTGCTGGATATTGATTTTCATTTAAGATTTATTTATTTGATCATACAGAACTAGGGTACAGGTCAGAGGTGCAGGGGCGGTGAGAGGCTTCACCAGAGACAGAGTGGGGAGCAGAACAGGCAGATCGACGAAGTACACTGCTGAGGGGGCAGCAGGCTGGCCAGGAGAGGTCTGCCACGCCATGTGGATCTCCTCCGGGGCAGGCGGGGATGGAATTCATGCGGAAGTGGCTTTAGCTTCTTAGTGCTGTGCTTTAACCTGCTGCGCCACCAACGAGGGCCTGGATATTGATTTTTATTCATACCATGACATATCTCATTTGCCAGTCTTTTAGGGAAACTCAAACACCCATGCGTGTTTCTATAAAAAAATTCTGGGTTCACTGGAAGATCTAAATACATCAGAATTAAGTAAGAATCAATGAAAACAATAGGCACCTTTTTTTTTTTTTTAAGATTTATTTATTTATGGTACAGAACTGGGGTACAGGCCAGAGGTGCAGGGGCAGTGAGAAGCTTCATCAGAGACAGAGTAGAACAGGCAGATCAACGAAGCACATTGCTGAGGGGAGCAGCGGCAGGCCAAGAGAGGTCTGCCGCTGCCATGTGGTCACCTCCCGAGGCAGGGATCGAACCCATGCTGAAGTGGCGTTAGCTTTTTAGTGTTGTGCTTTAATCCTCTGCGCCACCAGGGAGGGCCATAATAGGCAGATTTTTTTTTAAAAAAAAAGATTTATTTATTTGTGCATACAGAACTGGGGTACAGGCCAGAGGCTCAGGGGTGGTGAGAGGCTTCACCAGAGACAGAGTGGGGAGCAGAACAGGCAGATCGACAAAGCACACTGCTAAGGGGAGCAGCGGGCAGGCCAGGAGGGGTCTGCCACGCCATGTGGTCACCTCCGGGGCAGGCGGGAATCGAACTCATGCGGAAGAGGCTTTAGCTTCTCAGTGTTGTGCTTTAACCCGCTGCGCCACCAGGGAGGGCCAATAGGCAGATTTTTAACCAATTGTTTTTGATATGTTGTCTTTCTTAGGGAAACTAAAGTATTATATAGTTTGGTAGTTTTATTTTATATATGGGAACTTGATATGCCATTTCAAATTTTAAAAAATGTCTGCTTCTTCAAATATTATTCATAGTGAGTATTTTTCAAACATTATGATTTTCCTTCAAGATGATAAGTTATATGCACAATGAGAGTGAAAAATCTGTCCTTTGGCTTTAATAATAGAAAATAATATATTCACTTTAAGAGTCCACATAATAGATCCAGAACATTTTACTAAGCAATTCTTTTAGTAATAAACTAACTTGGAAAATTCTAAACCATTGCTGATATAATAAAAAATATCGGGTTATCATTTCCTTACTAGAGAAAAAAATCTATTTGAAGTAGACTTTATAGTGCTTCTTAAACTATTAGTAGATTTTTAATCAAAGTATAGCATATATGTTTGTTGACTATATACATTATCTGATTATAAGTAATAATTTTCAAACAATTGACAATACAGACAAATCATTGACTCATGACTTAATAACTGAAAAACTTCACAGACATCAATTTAAATGTTTTCTTGCCTTCTCAATGGGAACTGTCCGTCCATGATATATTTTTGAAAAAAAAAATTTAAAAATACATTTAAAATATTTAAAATATTTTTTAAAGTGCTTTTATTTTGTTTTTGTAACAGAACTATGTGTACAATAAGATAGTCACACAGATTCAAAATTGGCCAGTTCACCCTGTAGAGAACTAAATTTGTCAAACCATACTTTTTGATCTAATTTAACTTTGTCAAAAAATATAAACAATCCACAGGTTCTGATTTTGTGTCCTTCTGAATGTGAGTCAAAGTGCATTTCATATGGTAGGTGGCACTCAGTATTGGGTGAATATGGCACTTGTGAAACTCACATGGGACTATGAGTATATTCATAATACTGCATGTAGATTCTGAGAACAAGTATGACTATTATTAAATATGTCATTTTCATTTACATAGCACTCTTCAGTTTAGTAGGAAAACTTTTGACAGTGCATCATGTTTTCTTCTAAGACTGCATTGGGAGCTTTAATTGCTAGTTACAGAAAAACTACACTTAATTTTGTATATGTATGTGTGTGTGCTATATAAACTATGCTATAAACAACTAGAGAGCAAGATACATTCTACTTTCCCTTCACCTCCAACACAACTCATACATTGTCCTCAAAAAATAGGCTGATCACTGTTCACTAAATGACTGAACCTGTTGTCATTCTATTCTGGAAAGAGATTTGGTGTATGGGTGGATGGATGGGTGAGTGGGTGAATGGATAGATGCATGGATGGATGTAGAGACAGAAAGACATACATACACATACATTTTATGTAGTTAGTGTGTGTGTGTATAAGTGTGTGTGCATGATTAATGCCACAATTTGGCTAAAAAAAACCACCTCATTAATCATTGAAATATTTTTACTTTTTTCTATTGCATTTTTTCCTATATTTGTCTAACATGTTTCAATGTGTACTTGAGAAGTCTGCATTATCTTTATTTTCACTTGTCCCTCCATGCCCATAGAGGACCACAATTATTTTATCTGAGGTTTGTAAAATAACAACTCCTTAGGATTGGAATAATGGAATGCAGTTCACCTGACATTTCTAAGGGGTAGAAGAGACAAACAAAAATTATCCAAGAGTCTTCATGCACTATAACTATGTTCCTGACCAGGTGCTATAACCTCTGTTAGCCATCCCATTTAGTCTAGCATTTACTTAATAATGGAGGGGAGAGAAGATGTGCTTACGCATCCTATGATGTATTTTCAAATCACAGATTTTTGCCCATTCAGCAGGCTTTTCTAGAAATAGACAAATACAATCAATGAATCTCTGGGGAAACTATTAATGCTTTTTGCCAATTTGATAGCAATCTCAGTTTTTCACTTCTTAAAATAAAAAGCTATAAATTGATTTCTTTTAGGTGTACGCTCTTACCCATAGTGTGAGAGACAAGAAAACATGAGCCATGATAATTCAGATACTAGAGGTCAGTGTTTGATTCCATTCCAAATGTTAAGATCGTTTTATTAAAGATCATCCTGGAAACTGTCAAAACCAGAACTAGATTTTCAAGTCTGGTTCAATCCCAGCATTTTCTACTTCATTCCTACTGATTCCTTGAGCAGTATGCTCCCTCTGTAGCAGAATTCAGCAAAGCCAAAGGTTTTCTGATTAGTCATTGCTGTGGGGCCAGAATTGGCAGCAATGACTTTTCTTCCTAAAGTTTGAAGGAAGTTACTCAATGAGCAGTCTCCCAAAGCAAAGCAAAAACCAAATTCTTAACTGGAAATACAATATTCTCTAACCTGGCCATTTAATTCCTCTGGTTATTTTCTCTCTCAAGAGCCAAATAGGTATAACTCAGTTTCTTACAAATCTTTAGAATGTAACTGATAGAGATTCAGATGTAACCCATTTTACATGTATGTAATTTTCTTGACCATGATCCTATTGATCTTAAAATCAAAGTTGGTCACAATTTCCTTCCATGGATTCAGGTCATAAAAATGTCAAGAGAACATACTGCTTCAGAAAAGCAATACTCTAATTTATGTTGCCTGGCCACTTTGTTAGTCTATAATTCAAAAACAAAACCACATGCAAAAACTCCTTGTAGTTTGAGCATGTGGTTTTGTTTTTGAATTATAGTTACCTGCCACTTCTCAATCTCTCCAGCCTCAATTTTTTTTAAAAAAGGAATAATTATTATAACACCTATTACATAAATTTGTTGATTCAAAAGCCTTATATATTTAGATATCATTTCTTCCATTTCTATTAGTTTACACATGATTAAACATGCCAATAATAACTGTTTTATTGCAATTTAGGTTTCAGGAATTATATTATTCATGTATCTCACACACTTATCACATTGTATAAAGACAAGTACATTTCACTTACAAAGCCACCCTTGTTTCCTGTCTAGATTCAGTGATTTACTAAACACATTTATAATAAAATTGTATTTTGAAACACTTTAGCTAAAATATAAAATATATTATATACTTATACTATTTAATCATATGTTTATAACTTATTGGCACCTTGAGATTTAAATAGAGCATAATTTGATATAATCTAGTACATACTTTCTTATTTTATAGGTGATAACATAATTAAGTCAAAGTTTTAAAAATACATTGAATTATTTTAAGTTTGTGACTATGATCTCAGATGGCTATTTTCTTCAATTAATATACACAACAAATAATTCTATGTATATGTTTACACACAATGATTTTATTTATGACACACATGTACTTATGTCATTTTTTAAGAAACTTTAAAAACTTAGAGTATAAAGTTTTTTATTTAATTATGGAAATGTAATCATAAAAGAGCTCTAATTATCAGACCTCCAAATTAATGAATTGGATCATATGATGGATACAGTTATTATTTTTCTGTGTTCATGAATGAAGAAAGATGTTTTATTAATAGATATAAAATTTCCTCGATGCTTAATAAAGTATAATTGTCTCCCCTCTCTCTTTTCCTCCCTCCTAGCAGTCCTTTCTCTTTCCCTCCCTCTCTACTAACTCCTTTAATCCTCTGAGCAGAATATATTGAGATTCTCTTCAAATCACAGTCAGCTCTGTTTGGCAAGTTCTAACAGAACTCAGTCAAGGTGAAATCCAGCCAGCTTTTACTGCTAAACAATGTATTCATACAGCATATGCTCTCTTGTCTGATCAGGCTGCTTCTTGCTCTTGTCCCAGAATAAGAAAGGAGTGTTGCTTTCCTGGGGTATGCTATTTGAGAAAGAAAGTAACCTAACACTAACTGCAGGCGGGGTTAGAGTGATGTAACAGGAAGCTCTGATGTTTCCCTTCTGCTGCTGAGCACATACAATGTGACAACACTTCCAATCTATTCAGAACAACCCTCTCCCTCCAGCAGAGTGTCACCTCCTGCTTTAGGACCAACAAGCTCTGCTAACTGGACCTCACTCTGCCTGCAGGACCACAGAGCAAGTCTTTCTCTCTTACCCACCTTGCCTGGGAATATATCTCTTCATCGGATTGCAGAAAATCAAATTCTATCCTAAGAATATTTCACCAAGAATTTCCTCAGGAGCTGTGCTGGGTAAGTGCATTATTCAAATAAATACATTTTTTTTTCTGAGTAGTATTCTCTTGTAGTTTGATGTTTCAACAAAAGAATTTAGTTTGTGACACTGAAATAATGTTGAAACATGTTCTCATTTATTTCACATGCTAGAGAAACTACTCCAAAATACATATAAAACCTACTACTATCAGAAAATATGTCAGTAATGTTCTAAAAATATTTAACAAGTAATAAAAATCTGAATGGGTGAAGAAGCATACCTTTGAATAAATATGTATGAACAAGTTTCTTTTAAATTAGTCCTACAAATACCTAAGTTTGAATTTGACAGCTGAAAAACATTTTCTCCCAGGAAAGTCTTTAAACTTCCCATGTAATCAGTATTCTAAGGGTTGAACGGCTAATTACTTGAGATTCTGGGGTCTCAGAATCTCACTCACTCAGTAGTTGAACAAAATGGAGAATTAAAACAAAAGTAGTCATTTTGATATGTTATATTTGTCTTCTATTTGGCTTTCACCTCTATGTACACAAATATTTCTAACTATTAAACTAATGGGGTTTTAATTGTTTGTTGATATCAGATACATTAAAGTCTCTCTTTTAATCTTGAACTATTTCCTCTGTATCTGATCATGGAGTAGACTGCATAAAAATAAAAAAAGCAAGGATTGAGAGAATGTTGAGATTTCTATATTAACTCTAATTTCAAAACTCTTTAGCTAGCAGAATGTATTACTTCCATTTGTTATCTTCTGCAAGTTTTGGGGGAGATGGTATGACACTGAGTTATCTGTGAATGAAGAAAATAATAGAGGTCTCCCAATGACATTATCAGTTTATAAAATAGATAAATTAAAGAGTGTACTTATAAAGAAACATTCCAGGAGGAAAACCCCACTAAAATTTTGAAATTAAATATCTGTTGATTCTTCTTTCAATGGTACAGACTATCCTGGAAAACTTAAACTAGTGTCTAGTTAACAAATTGTTGGTATGGAGGTATCACAAATTTGTTGCTGAGAAAAATTAGATGTCAGATTTCTGTTCAAATTTTGTTGACTGACACAATTTATATTTCGTATTATTTCTTACCTCACTAAAATTATACTCTGAAAAATGTCTGTCAATGGGAAAATCTGGCACTTAGCCTCATATAATCTGATACCTTAAGAGAACTACAAACCCATTTTCAATAACTTTTTTGCAATTTTCTCACAATTTTGTCCACATAATAATGGGAATTTCAATTATGGTTGTTATTATATATTGTATTGTACTACAGTTGGTTCTTTACCTTCTTCTGTCTTTATTTATATTCAATTCCCAAACACATGTGGAAATGGTAAAATGTTTTTAGAATGTGAATTTGTAAATATCCATTAGATAATTCAGAGAGAAAATGGAAAAATCGCATTAACTATCTAACCCAATATCTTGGTTTAGTAACAAAAATTAAAATATCCTTACTGTCAAGCTATATTCTTAAAATAATCTATTATGTTAATATATCTTATAATAAAGAACTCCCAAACTTCTCAATTTGTATTTAATTTCTAGTCAAAACTACATAAATTTCTTACATAATTTAATTAAGATTTTATAACTGTACTTTGCATTATGGCTTGTGATTTGACTTTCAAAGACTTCTGTTGAAATACATTAGGCAGTGAATACTTCAGGGTATTTTAGCAAAACTAAGAAAGTAATTGGAAACATGAAATAAGAATTTGCATTATTATTTCCTGAAATTTGCTTTCTTTAATGATAAGTGGTGTGAGAATATTAATATATGCTTTTAATTGTAATAATTAGTTTATTTTGGGGGGTGGTATTTCCCTGTAGCATCTTAAAAACCAAGGCACAGTCTAAGGTCAATCAGTACTAAGTATGTAAATTGGGAAATCATGATGAATAATATACTTTATCTGAAATATGTAGTTATATTTAAGAGACATGATTTTGGTTACACAGCTGTATTTTTTTCTTATATTTCTTAACATATGCCAAGATTTTATTTTATTTTATTAGTTAAAATATTTAATTTTTTTAAATATACAAAATTATTCATTACTTTGGAAAAACAGAGAAATAATAAATATTAGAACACACTGTGATTTTAAAACTTGTTTGACAAGCAGCCAAAGTAAACTTTACTCAATGTTGATGACTAGGATGTAATAAGGTTTAAATGGAGTTAATATTTCAGCATCTTTATGAGTGCTTTAATATTGACTTGCGTACATTTTATCATTATTTAATGCATTACAGAAATTTGTTTCAATGAAACATTCAAGCTAATATTAAGACCAAAAAAAAGATTGACAAGCTTTATGCTTCTGTGGAAACATTCCTTGATAACACAAAAACTATCAGATTTCAGCTAATGCTATTATATATTTCTAACTTTAATCATGTTTGAAAGCATTATAACAATACATTGTTTTCAATTTTGTATGCATATGGTTAAAATTTGATAATAAATGATTTTTAAAAACTATCTTCCAGATTTTAAAACAAAATAATCTTCACAGCACCAAAGTATGCACTAAAGATAATTGATTTCAAGTTCTACAGATGATCTTGAATGAAGCTTAAAAATAAAATTCTGGCTATTAAGATGTATAATAATTAAGATGATAACATTTCTTAAACTAAATATATTCCAAGATCATTATTTTAAGTTTTTGACATATTCATTATCTTGTTTGAGAGCGATGATTTTTATTAATTAGCATAGGTTGTATCATTTCTATGTTGGTAAGAAAGACACTTAGGGAAAAGTTTGATTACCCTAGTCTGATTCAATCAGAATACCACTAGTAAACAGCTTTTCTGAAGTCCATTTGTAAACTATCAATGTTATAATTTCTTAAGAAAGCTTTTTTTCCACCAAAGTACTTCTAATCATATTGCACTATTATTCGAAGGAATCCTCCCATCTGAAACTATTCTCATGAAAGTAGGTGGAAAATAAAAATTTACTAGAAATAAAAGAATAGGTCTGAATATTACTCAGATATTTCAATCATTCTGTCATTTTTCACATAGGTAAACACTTTTGTCCAATGACTTTTATCATAGCTATGCAACTAAAGTATATGGTTAGTTCTCACACTTTAATTTTAGTTTAGCTATTAAAGGTTGGTTAATAATTTAAGATGCATATTCTTAATTCCAAAATATACATAATTGAATGTAAAGTGCACTGTTGAAGAAATAATAGGTAGAAAATAATTCATTGCAATTTTGGAACATAAATATTGAACTAATGTAATTTTGGGGGGAAAATGAGTTAGATATATGACAATTAAACAAAAAAAAATGTTATACACTCTCTTGCAATTCCAACTGAAAGAAAAAAGTCCTCAATGAATCAAGTTTATTATTTTATCATATATTAGTGTTATAATAGCAATCTAATCAGATTATAACAAACAATGTCTATATTCTTCCTACTAAAGATAGATTAGAGTCACAAGCTGAGAACTGAGTTAGTTTCTATGTTAATATATAAATTTACTAGTATTATCATCATATAATAAGTTGTTTTTGTTTGCAAAAGTCATTATGACAGTATATTTTAAAATGTAAAACAAAGTTTATCTTTTTATTACTACATGGGTATAATCAAATGTATATTTTATACCTTATTATTATTTTACCTTATTATTAATTTAAAGAACAAAAATCTCAACTCAACCCAACATAAGTCTAAGTATGTCAGTAACTAACTAATTAATCCCTATGTTATTAAGACTGTGGTTCTGTGCTTTATTGATATTGATGGATGGAACCCAATTTTTCAGAGAAATCTTAGTCCCCTTAATATGGAGTATACTTTTAAATTAATAATGCTAATATGAAAAGCTTTTGTATAAATGTGTAGTTTAGGTTAAGCTGAGCTCAATTGTGTAACTCATAAATACACAGAGATATGTGAACATGTCATTTGGTGTCTTAAGTAGCAGTGCTATAGAGGGATTATATCAAAAGCAAATGGCTTACAAGGTTGTCAAATAACGGGTATTAGCATATTCATGAGCACTCAGATTTGGCTTCATTGATCAGAACTAAGATAACTGTATCTTATATCAAAGTACTAAATATGTAAAATTTACAAAAGAGTATAATTTGAATGTGTGGCCATTAGCTAACCTAAGATAATCACTTTGCAGATATTTGGTGCATAAGCCGTAATTTACCTCTCCTCTAAGGATAATTTAATAGAAAAATCAAAACTTCAGTATGTACAAGGGAAGAACAAATAACTTTATAATAGAAAATAAGGAAGATTAAAATGTCTGTAGACATTTTCAAATATGAAATAAAATGAGGGGATTTATTTTTACATGTTTGATGAGAAATAATATTAGAACAACTTATTTATATGTTTTATTAATCAGTCTATGCATCTTCTTTAAAAATTCACCTTCAAAGAAATATTTTGGTTTTGCAACTTAAAAAAATAAAATGCCAACATGCTTTATTTTCTAAGACAAAAGTATGAGGTATACATTTGTGTTTTAGAAATTTAGGTATAATCGTTTTTTGAAGACATTATTGAAATGAAATACACTTTAGACAGCATTTGTGTCACATGGTAAGGACATTGAGTATTTTAAAATATATTGAGCCCAGCTTCACCAATTCCCAGTTAACTAAAATATCTTAGAGCATATCAGGTTTATTTGGTTATATATATATATATATACACAAATAAAAAGAGAGAGATGTAGGTATAAGTATAGATACATATGTTGTTTTACAACCCTATTTTGTGACATTATTAGATGACACATATATCTTAATATCCCTGAGGAACAAATAAATAACTTTAAAAAAATCATCTACTACAGCAAAGTCTATATTCCCTATAACAGACTTTTCTCCTGAAGTCAGCTGTAGGAGAATCTTTCCATATTGCATGAATACAATAGAACCACCCTTTAAAGGCTGACTTGCTACTAAGATTATTTAGCTGGTTTCTTTAGGGGTTGCTATGTGCTATGCAT